TTGTTCAAGGCAAGAAGATGCAAGAGGCAAGGAGGATAATTCGGCATCGAGTTCTACCTTTCTTCCTTTTGTTTTTATCATTTATGATGAATTTTGCTGTTGCTATTATGAACACAATTATGAGTAGCTAATTATTTAGTCTAAGATTTTGATGGAACATGTTAAGGGATGAACTTCTTGTTGTGTTAATATAGTTTGCCCAGTTTAATCTTTATTTGTTCAACTACATTCTTGTTATAGTTAATTGATAGGATCCTCAATTAGCTGTGCCTATTTAATATGTATTACTTGGAAGAGAGTGCATATTTAGGTAGTTGTTGAACAACACCACTCCCAAAGTATATGAGGAATCAATAACCGAGGGTTTAAAGGTGGGATTAGGGATAACGAAACCTTGGGTGTGATCTAAGTGAGCTGTAATAAAAGCCAGCTAGCGTAACTCGGGAGAGTGCGTCTAGTAAATTGTCGTAATTACTCGAAAGAGATTTACGGTAGTAAGAGTGCTCATGATCGATAGAGACGATTAGGAAAATCTATACGAAACATAACAGGGAGGGATTCTATCAATAGGTGAAATCACAACCTTAGATCCTTCTCTTATTTGTTTACAAGTCAGTCATAATTAGCTTTTAGTTTACTTAATTTTATTCTGTTATAGTTAGTAGAAATATCACCAAGTGTTATTCAAAATATCTGGGAAGTTGATTATGGAGAATTCAGTGAGGCTGACAAAAGTAACTGGTAGGTTAATTCCTTGTGGGATTCGACTCTGGGCTAAATACCCGGATTATATTTGCAACGACCGCTTTGTCCTTTTTATAAGGCATAGTTGGGCATGATCATATAGTTTGGTTATTTTCTTCTATATACGCTAGCACTAACATATTTAATAGGAATATTATGTGGGAAAACTTAGAGAATGCCTATAAAAACTATAAAGGCCTGTGGATGGTAGGAGGTGATTTTAATGATATTATGGGATCGAATAAAAAAATTGGGGGGAGACCTATAAATAGTAATAGAGCTAACTTCCTTTGGTCAAAAATTAGTAATTGTTACGTAATAGATATAAGATATAAGGTCTGCAAATATACGTGGTCAAACCATAGAAAAGGGAGAAAATGGCTCATCATAGAACGACTAGACAAAATTTTAGGAAATGAGGAATGACTTGAATTATTTTTAAATTGCTTAGTAGTTCACCTACCTAAAACATACTCAGAACATAACCGTCCGTTAGTAGAGTTAATCCTTAGAGATAGACAAGACTATAGACAACCTTTCCATTTGGAAACTTTTTGGTGCAGACACCCCGACTTCCAAAATCTTGTTAGTAAAATTAGAATGGAATGGACTATTGCAGTGCTAGTAAAAACTTCACAAATACCATTAAATCCCGGAAAGATAAGACCTTTGGAGATAATTTTGGTAAGAAAAAAAAATTTAGCAAGGCTTCAAGGGATCCAAAACTCTAGAAATTACCCTAACGATGATTTCTTCATACACTAGAGGATAATCTCAAAAAAGATTACAATGACATTCTTAAAATAGAGGAAGACTACTGGAAAATAAAGTCTAGGATAATGTGGCTTAATGCGGGAGATGCCAATACAAGATTCTTCCACATATCGGCATCAAATAGGAGGATGAGAAACAAAATCACCTATTTTAAGGATGATGCTGGAAAGTGGGTTACAACACTTGATCATGTCACACGTTTGCAACTATTTTAATGATACTTTTACTACCTCTCACTCAATTACTAATTGGAATAGCATAAAAATAAACCCCTTTAGTCACTATAAGTATGACCTAACAAATTTAGATAATCCGTTATTGGATAGTGAAATTACGAGGGCAATATTCTCCTTTAAACCATTTAAATCCCCAGGGCCGAATGACCTTCACCTCTTTTTTTTTTAAAGTATTGGAATATTATAGTGCACCCTGTCAAGAACCTTTGTCGTAAAACTTTTAACAATCAAGAAATCCGAAGACATCAACAAAACCTACCTTTGCCTAGTTCCAAAAATTCCAAAATGCTAACAATATCAAAAAACTTTAGGCCCATTAGCCTTTGTAATATTATCTGCAAGACGGTTACAAAAATCTTTGGAAATCGTCTCACGCTTTTCCTAGAACAAATTACTAGTTAATTCCAAATTAGCTTCATGAAACATAGAAGAGCCTCCGATAATGCAATCATCATCCGGGAGTTAGTCTCCAATTTAAAAAAGCTAAAAGGAAAACAAGGTCATATGATCCTAAGAATTGATCTCGAAAAGGCTTTTGATTGTTTGAAATGGTCTTTCATCTATTGCACGTTCAGATACTTTAATTTCCCCCCTAAATTCTCCAAACTCTTACTAAATTGTATCTCCACCAGCTCTATAGCGGTCTTAGTGAATGGTACTATTTCAGATTTCTTTGAACCAAGTCGAGGAATTAGGCAAGGTGATCCTATATCGCCATATATCTTTATTCTTTGTATGGGATGTTATCTAGAGATATTAATCACCAAGTAGATATACACAATTGGGACCCTATTGCTACAAGAATGAAAAGACCCCATTTTTCACACATGTTTTTCGCGGATGACCTAACAATAGTGGCCAAAGCAAACAACAAATCATGTCAAACCATTAAAAAGAGTCTAGACTACTTTTGTAACCTATCAGGACAATGTATAAACACTACTAAATCAAAAAATCCTTTTCTCAAACAACTGATTGCCAAACATGATTAAGGATATTACCAGCAGCTTATGAGTTAAGAAAAGTGATTCGTTTGGAACTTATTTGGGATTACCAGTCCTAAACAAAAATTCAAGACCCACTGACTATCACTTTATTATAGATAAAATGAGGGCATGACTGGCTTCCTGGTAGACTAGGTTTATTAACATTGCGGGAAGAACCACACTAGCCCAATCTTGCCTTAATTTAATTCTTAACCACTATATGCAATATACTCTTCTTCCAAAAAAAAAAAAACCTTGAAAAACATTGATAAAGTCCAAAAGGGGTTTTATATGGGGTATTACTACAGAAAAGAAAAAATTCCACCTAATCAAATGGCCTATCGTTTTCCAACAAAAGTCCAATGGGCCTAGGCATTCGTAATGCTAGTACAAAAGATTTACCTCTTAACTGGCCTAGCATGGAGACTACTCACTAATATAACTACTCCACGGGCAAAGCTTATTATCACCTCCTATGGTACTAGTACAACCAAGAACCCTCACTCTTTTATTTGGAAGAGTATTCTGAAAGAGTGGGAGATTTGCTCCAAAGGCATTACTTGGTCACCTCGCCATTAATCCAGCATTAATATTTGGTTAACTAATTGGATCCGCAATACAAAAAACCTTAGAAGCTCTATCGAGGGCCCTCTATCACCTACCGATCACTCTTTAAAAATTAGGGATATCTATAGCAACCACAATTGGGATTTCACAAATCTCTATAGTATTCCCCAATGATATCAAAGAAAATATTTCAAAGGTCAGAATACGTACTAAGGGACCGATTTGTGACATTCTTATATGGTCCCTCACCACAAAAGGTACTATTACCACAAAATCCTGCTATGATCTTATTGAACCACCTAAAGCACATCAATTGGAGTTCAAATGGCTTTGAAAATTAAATTGTCCAAACAAAATCAAGTTCTTCTTGTGGCAATGCCTACAAAATAGACTGCCATGTAGAGCTTACATATCACATATAGGTATTAACATAGACCCCATATGCCCTATTTGTAAAAGGGAAGAAGAGTCCATCACCCATATTTTCATCAAATGTAAAACCATTAATTTTTTTTTGGGTAGTTTGGGATGGTCAAATTTTTATTAACCAACGGACAATCACTGGCTTATGCAAGTAAAAAATTTTGATCACAACCTTAAAGATAATAATATTAACTGGAAATCTTTTTTTCCCCTTTGCACGTTGGAATATTTGGTTGAATAGAAATAATAATAACCAAAACAACACTGACAACCCTATTAACATCGACTACATCAAGCAAAGATTAATAGAATACAATCTTCTAACTGGAAGTTGTCACAGCCCTACGAAGAAAATAACTATCAATATAAAATGGCACAAACCTTCGAGGGCTGGTATAAATTAAATGTAGATGCAAGCTACAAAATAACAATCAAAGAGTGGCTTGGGAGGTGTATTCAGAAACACAAGCGGGAACTGGATGGTAGGTTTTACAAAATTTACTCATACAAACGGTTCACTAGAAGCTGAACTCTAGGCTCTTCTTGAGGGTCTTCAAACAGCACAAGAATGGAAACTGTTTTCTTTGGAAATTGAAACAAACTCCACCGAGGTAATCCTATATATATATATATCAAGGCAATAGACTGTATGACGATATTATCAATGCATGCAAGTTGTTAATAAACCAGGAAAAAAAATTGGCCCTCCGACACGTCTCCGGCAAGGGAATAAAGTGGCACACCACCTAGCAAAGGAGACTGATGCACAAACAATGATGAAGAAATATTATGCACAACCTCCATTTTCTGTTGAATCTTTTATAATGAAGGACCAAAAGGAACAATGTATTTTTGTCAAGTATTTACCAAATGATGCTTGTAATATACTAGCAAGCCTAGGTAACCAATGTGTCCTAAGCGACATGGGTTATATCTGTAATGTCTTAAACACTATGTAATATTAATATAAATATTCTTGTTTGCTCAAAAATAAAAAGAGTAACCATTTAGTAATAATGCGATTACAAAAAAAAAGTGGTGATTGATTATGTGTATCATAGAGAATGAATAGTAAGAGTGAATATTATTATGAAAAGATGTTTGAATTAGGAAAACAATATCCATAACAATATTTTCTTCATATTTAACCCCTTTCCCCCTAAAAGACCCCAAAAAAAAACCCAAGAACAAGAGGAAAGAGTCACGTGATTGGCACATGGGTAAGCACCATCCAATATTTTCCAAATTCTAACCAGATTCTTACCGAGACAATCTTCTTTCAAGATTCCAAGTACGGTTCTAATAAATAGTGAACGTTACATTACATAAAACTCAGAAATGAGTATTTCCCTCTGAAACTTGCCCCGATCTGCTTTGGATGGTCCGATCACATGGCGTCTTCTCAACAAACACACATTCCTTTGCCTCCTGACCCTGGTTTGCTGTTTTCCCCCCTTTTAATCTTTCATTTCCTGATTTTACAGATCAAAACTCTTCTTTTTTTTCCCCTTTTCTGTTGTGGATTTTCTTGGGTTTTTATTATGCGGTGCGTTACAATTCTCCATTTTAATGAAATGGGGTTATAACGTTCATGCTTTCTTGGTGGTGGTGGTGGTGGTTGGGGGGGTGGGGGTGGGGTACCTTGTATGTGCAAATTTGCTTGTTGCATTAATCTTGAAGGTTTTGCATCAATCAGACGTACACCGAAGTTCTAAATTTTTCATGTTTATGACTTTCTTGTTGTTTGCATTTATATCCTGTTAATAGGCATTTAGGTCAATTAGTTGCATAAAAGAATAGTTGCAATCAATGTTCCTATGAGACTCAGCACTTAGTTTAACCATTGGACTTCCTATTTTTATGTGTTCTTGTTTGTATAGACATACTAACCCACGAATGTTGCTCTTTGCTTCATAACTAACTACGGCATTTTGTAATTTGACCTAAAATTTTGTCATAACGAAAAGGAAAGATAAAGGAGGATGTGAATGTAAACTCAAGGTTCTATGATGTTGGTTTTCGTAGGTGACAAAATCGAAGGGGACGAGGCAAATTTTTCTTCAGTTCCAATCCATGTTGTCACTAATCCATCTCAACTACCTGTTGAATTCTTGGAGCCTTCTCCTGAGTCGCAACTGGTTATTGGTTTTGATTGTGAGGGTGTTGATCTTTGTCGCCATGGGACTCTTTGTATCATGCAGGTAATATCCAAAATCTGAATGTGCATCATGTCATGCAGCCTTAAAATTGCTAATTAGATTTCTCGTTTTATGAAATTACATGGCCTGCAATAGTGCAATATTTTGTGGTTATTGAAAAAGTAGTCATCCATACAGCTCTAGATTTATGAAAAGCCTAATGCAATTTGATGTTCATACATTTTATGGACACAGGTAAGCCTTTGAAGTTATGAGCTTGTAAGTGTATTGTGCACCTTTGGTTGGTAATTAGTAAATGTACAGTTCAGACTTGATGTATTTTGGTCAAATTTTTGTTTCACTCAGTGTGGTAATCCTAGTTTGGAAGGAAATGATTATTGGCGCTTCTTTTGGAGAAGTATCTTTTGAATGCTCTATATTAGCAACAAGATGAACTAGGGCATAACTAAGATGGTTCTCCTGGAAAATATTTACTTTTTCCATGCCCATATCCTGTACTCCCCAGATCAAATCAGGGTTTTAGGCTAAAGGTTATAGTTTCTTGTCTTTATACGAGGTACATGTTTTATTTTATATTCTCCAAATGCATTTTTTTTGTACTAAAAGTCAGCGGTAGGCTCAGATGTCCCAATCGACCAATGGAGTATTTGCAATGGTTTTAGTGGTAGAAGAAAAATGGCATGTGACATTGGAGAGCCTCTTACATTCTCTGATGGTGGTCTAAGATGTCACGATACACACGGGCAATGCAATTAACGTTTTCACTGTGAGCAACAACAACAATAAACCCAGTATAATCCCACAAGTGGGGTCTGGGGAGGGTAGTGTGTACGCATACCTTACCGTTACCTTGAAGGTTGGGAGGTTGTTTCTGATAGACTCCCAACTCAAGGAAAGATGAAAAGAAAGCAGTAGCAACAAGCAATAACAACAATAAGATAATAAAAACCAAAGCGGAAGGAACAACATGTAGTAATAGAGATCTAACAATAATAGAATATAAGACTAACACTAATAGTCTTGTGAGCAGCGTAGGGAAAGTCTCTTATGTTTATTAGAGAAGGAAGGAGGAGACGGATGAAATGGAAGACAAATATGAGAATAGACATCCCTGGCATGTTCAACATTGAGATATCACAGCTAGTTTCATTGGATCTTCTTTGTTTCTTTTTCTCAGTCCTTTTACCAGCACTGAAGGAAGAGCCGATGGTGGACTGAAGAGTAAGCAGTTGAAAAATGTGACAGAAGAGAGATCATGGAGGAACTTTTTAGTGAAGGAACAAGAGAGGGAGAGCACTAACTTTTAGAAGTCAATCCTCAACTTTGAGGAATGGGGTGATGTGGTGAGTGTTGGGGTTAGAGAACTTGCATGCCTTAAAAAGTGTATTTGATATGATAAAGCTTTTATATAGTCAAATGTGCATTAGCCGGAATCCCTTTAGGCTTTCCATTTCAAAAAATCTTGCTACGTTGAAAATTGTGAAAAAAGCAGGTTCGAGGAGGAAGTTTTTAGTGAACGAAGAAAAGAGGGATATGAATGTTTTCAGAAGTAAATCCTCAACTTACAGGAGTGTGGTGAGTGTGGAGTGCTGGGGTTAGAGTACCTACATGACTTAAAAAGTGTATTTGATGCAATTAAGCATTTATGTAGCCAGTTTTGCATCAGCCTGACTTTCTTTTTAGGCTTCCTTATTCTAAATTTCAAAACTTGCGATGTGGTGGCAGCATGTACTTTTTGAAAAAGGAATGATATGATCATATCCTTTTCTGCTATTATTACTGTCCTTGCTTTTTCTCTTGCTTTTTTTGTACTCTGTGCACTCCAATGTTTACTTTCATGTTTTTATATACGTTCCAACCGTTTAGGCTTTCCATTTCAAAAAATCTTGCTACGTTGAAAATTGTGAAAAAAGCAGGTTCGAGGAGGAAGTTTTTAGTGAACGAAGAAAAGAGGGATATGAATGTTTTCAGAAGTAAATCCTCAACTTACAGGAGTGTGGTGAGTGTGGAGTGCTGGGGTTAGAGTACCTACATGACTTAAAAAGTGTATTTGATGCAATTAAGCATTTATGTAGCCAGTTTTGCATCAGCCTGACTTTCTTTTTAGGCTTCCTTATTCTAAACTTCAAAACTTGCGATGTGGTGGCAGCATGTAGTTTTTGAAAAAGGAATGATATGATCATATCCTTTTCTGCTATTATTACTGTCTTGCTTTTTCTCTTGCTTTTTTTGTACTCTGTGCACTCCCACTGTTTACTTTCATGTTTTTATATACGTTCCAACCGTTCCAAATGCAGCTAACTTCCGCTGCTTTTTGGTGTGTTTCAATTGACTTTGACCCCTCTAAATTTGTCTCCAAGAATTCAAATTAATGTACGGTAATACCATTTTTTATTGGTCAGGTGTGCAATACTGTGTATTTTCTAGTGCTGATGTGGTATCTTCTCAACATAGTACCAGACTTTCATACGAACTCAAAGCCATTGTTTTTAGACATACCTCTAACTGACTGTAGCATGCTAAAATATAAAAACTTTCTTTCCAAATCTTCATATTAGTCAAATTGGGTCATTAAGATTGGGGTTAGAGTGTACTTTGGGAATTATCAAGTGTAACTTTAAATGTGCCTAGTGCTAAATCTAATTCCCTGTGCTTGTATCCTTGGCATCAAAACATTGAATCTCAAATAGTTGGCCTCTAAACCCTGATGTTAAATTTCTCTTTTCTTCTCGAGTGGATTGGAAGCTTAAGTCTATCCACAAAGGGCTTCTAAGGCTGTGATATATTCAGATTTGCTAGTACGTTTGTCATCTTGTTTCTTCTAGTTTATTTGAGATCAAACCAGCGTTGCTTCTTGCAGCATAACTTGTGTCATAATGCTTTCAGTTGATAACACTTATCCGACCAAAAAAAAAAAGCTTCCCGTTGATAAAATTTTGTTTGTGCAGCTTGCCTTTCCTGATGCAATATATTTGGTTGACGCTATTCAAGGTGGACAGACTGTGATTGAAGCCTGTAAGCCTGCACTTGAGTCTAGTTACATCACAAAAGTTATTCATGATTGCAAACGAGATAGTGAGGTCTCTTATTGATTTCTTCTCTTTTTCAAATTGTTGTATATATGAAGTGCCGTTGCATGTCTAATTTACTTGTCCATTCTTCTCTCAGGCATTATATTTTCAGTTTGGCATAAAGTTGCACAATGTTGTGGATACACAGGCAAGCATTCTCACTTGAAGTTGTCTCAGCGTACTTGATTTTCCACCAAGCACCATCCAGTTTGACTAGTCTGAAAACTAGAATACTGAGACCTGAGTTTGATGGACTATTAGGTGCCTTTACTTTAAGATGTTGTATTAATAGTTGAAATGTGTGAAACTGGAAACAGTTTTTGGAAAGAATGTCATATTAGAACTGGAGTTAATACAATTATTAGTATTCACTAGTATGTGTTATAAATTATAGTTAAGATGTGTATAGATGGCCCTGTTTGTTGAAAGACAAAACTAGATTTAATATTAGTGTTGGTCGTTTATGTAGTTTGAATATCGGACATAAACAAAAAAGTGGTCAAGCAATTGGGCGGACTAAACGACAGTAGGTCACGTAATTTGGGATGGATGAATCCGTAAATTTGACAAACCAACTAATGATACCGGGTTCTGTGAGGGCCTTTTTAATTTGTGTTATTGTCTTACTGCCAAGTATTGTGAAGGGTAAAAGTAAAACTCTAGGGTTTTCGGTCCATTCAATTATATTTGGTTTGTTCCTATTCTCCACTTGGGTCCTTCTCCTTCATTTAGTTTTCTCTCCTCAACCTCTTCTGACTGTGAATGTTCATGCTTCAGATTGTTCAAGGTAGTTTCTTCTTCCCAACTGGTAGGTGGTGTGATGTTAATAATTGTGATTGCACATTCCGTGGATTGAATGGACTGATTCGGAAAACATTACTGTCAATTAAATGAGTCACATCTTCCATCAGTTGTTCTCTATCTTTCCGTTTTTATTTTCCCAGAATATGTTCGTTTGCATGTCCGTTCTTTTTATAATTTGACACTGATTAATATGTTACACTGACTTTAACTAGGGTTTATTTGCCTGGAAGTGATAATAGAGAGTAGTATGGTTATGACCAGTTTGATGCACTTGGATTATAATGTTTATACTCTCTCCTCAAGCAGATTGCATATTCTTTGATCAGTGAACAAGAAGGGCGTGCACGGGTCCCAGATGACTACATATCATTTGTCGGTCTACTTGCTGACCCACGTTATTGTGGTATTGATCTATCTTGTGTTTTGAAATTTTTACTTGCTTATGTGTGCCTTGGATTTTGCAACCTGTTCTGTGGATCCTGCTACTTAGATATGAGCTTGTAAGCAAGGATGAAGGAAACCTATCATCTAATGGAACCTATCATGTATTTTGAATGCATTTTTCTGTAAAATTATATAACTAGTGCCAAGGGGTAAATAATAACATTATTAGCAGAACTAAAATTCTCGCAATTACCTTTGTCTTCTAAAAAATGCAATTAGCTTGAAACTAATGAGTTCATCAACTGGAGCTTGTACTCAAGTTGTTTGGCATCCCTTAATACTTTGTTGTGTGGCTTTTATTGCTTATTAAGTTTTTTTTGGTGGATTCAGTGATCTTTGGACTCTTCCATTTCATCTTTTTGCAGTTTTGAACATTTTACTTTCTCTGCTCCTCGTTCAAATTACTGTCACCTACGAGCTTTATGACCTTTACATTTTGTCCCTGATCTCTAGCATTCCAGCTCTTTGTGTTTGTTGAGCCGTCAAGAATTTTGTCCACTTTCATTTGCATCAACCTGCTTACAAGAGTAGGCATATCTGTTTTATTCACAGTCATTTTCTGCATTCTTATCTAGACAATGGGATCTTTTCCTTGCTATGTAGACTAAGACATTTTTCCTTTTCTTTTTTCTTTCTAACCAACTCATACTAAATTTTTTTCTCCAACTCTTCTTATTTCTTCGTCAGTGGAGTGAATATATCTTTCAGGAGGGGGAGGAGAAAACTTGATGGAGGTCATATTTTAAGCTGTGAATGTGTGTTCTATGTTCTTTTGGCTTAGGGAAGCAGGGCTGATGGAAGGCATAACTAGTTTTAAATCATTAATAAGATCATAACTAATTATCTGATAGTTGTCTTAGTTGTGGATTATCTGGAATAGATTTTTATTTTGGCTCTGTCATAATGCATGTTTTATATAAATTCTCACTTTTTGTGTATTAGGCTGCAATTTTACTCAAACAGGAAGAGCTGTAGAAAAGGGAACTCATTTCTTTTTATCCAATTTTGGTCGAAATGTAATTCCTCATCTTGATTGATCAAAAGAGTCTTTGTTACTGATTAAAATAAGAATAAGTGTCTCAAATAACTTCCAGCAACTAGTTTAGATGGTTTTGGCTCGACTTTTTGGTGTAATATTCAGGATGTCAAAGATGAAAATAGCTTGGTAGATCTCATCGGCTCACTACAGGGATAGGAATTGTACATACAGAACTCTTTCTTTTTGTTTTTGTATAGAAGGGTTCTGACTATGTTGATGTACTAGCACCATGTTAGTGCTAGATTTTTTTTTTCTATCAATATATCCTTTACGACGTCAGAAAGAAAAAAAATACTGCCAGGAACCATTTTTTGTTATGATAAGGAATACTGCCGTTTATCATGAACAACTTTCTAAAAAAGCATAGATGAGTTAATGTAAAGTTCAAGAGCTTTGTGAAAAGTATCGAGGAAAGGGATTTTTTGGCCCTTGTGACAACTTTAAAAATGCTGTTTCTAATTTAATTTCTGTCCTGGATGGCTGGAATACTCTTCCTTTTTTGTGTTCCTCATACACACCCTAAAGCACCTGTAAGGGTAGGAACAGTTTGAGTTTGGACGCGGTATTTAGTGGAGGAAGTATGTATCTGACTAGAAGGAGCTTAGATTTTAAGGTCCTTGGATAGATCAGCCTTGCAGTGGTTTTGATGAAGGGTCTCTGTGTAGATAGAAAAGGAGTATTACTTCTGTCTTGTAAAGCGGATAAATTCAACTATCTTCTTTAGGATAACTGAAACTTCAGAAAAGCAGATTCTTATTGTTTTCTCCTTTTCTTCACAAAATTATACACATCAAACTTTTTTCATGAGATAAAGTTAGTTGTTTTGCCAAAGAATAACAGTATATGCGTAAAGTCTTTCTGTGCCCTACTAAACCAATTGTCTCTTGTGTTTGTATCTTGAACTTCTCTACTAGGGTGTAAGTTTTGAGCAGATGCAGATTTGGAATTTGTGGGAACTAAACATCTTCTTGCTTGTTTTGGGCAGGAATATCTTATGATGAGAAAGAAGAAGTCAGAGTTCTTCTAAGACAGGTGAGTTAAAATTTTGCTTGCACACAGCAAAGAAAGGCTGTTTCCTGCTTTGAACAAGTTCATTGCTTCCATTTTGTTGTTTCTCTTCATGGATTAAATTGTTTCCTTATGTAGCTACATGTATATTAGAGACCTATGTTACATGGATTTATTTACGGGTATGTATTTAATATGGGGTGTGCATAATTATCTGGTATGGGTACGTGCAGTTTTTTGCTAATTTTTAGTGTATTTTGAAGAATTTGCATGAAGTTCCCATTAAGAAATCACACCCGTTCAACAGAGGGTATGTCGAAGAAAATGATGGATGCATTTAACATAGTTAGAGACCTTAATATGTGTACTTTCTGCCTTTTAAGGGGAAGACAAGGTGCGGATTTTGTCAAAATTTTGCACCTCAATTTGGAGAGCCAACTACTAAATTTGAAGGGAAGGAAATAAACAGCACATGTTTGTCTCTATTTATCTTCTTGCCTAAGAAAATAACGTTAGATGTGTCCTTTCACACGCTGAGTAGTAAGATTTTGCTATTTGTGCCAAAGGTCCTAGCCACGAGAGAAGCAAGAGGTTCTATGTTTTCTTCTGTTTTGTAATCTCTCTTTCCTGGCCGAAGTTTCTATAGCTAAAAGATGGAAGAATCTTTCTCATGTTGGGTGAATTGCCTTTATTACTCTAGGAAAGCTATCTTTTGCCTTAACTATGTATTTCTCATTTCATCCAGTGGCATTCTGTAAGTGTTAAATAGTAGCACGTGCGAAAAATTCTGATGAGTCAGATAAATTACTAGAAGGTCAACAGCGAGATCGTGCAGCTGATGAATTCTTTGTCTAAGCCTGTTTTGCATCTAAAACTAGCAGATAGACTAACAGAAGTGAAATTATTATACTATTTTCATGTCTCTTTTTGTACTTGAAAATATAGATATATGTGCAGTTTTCAGTCACTAAATCTACTTAAAATTTCTCTGGTTAATTGTGTCTTTCACATTTCCAGGACCCTAAATATTGGACATATAGACCATTGTCTGAACAGATGATCCGTGCCGCGGCAGATGATGTTCGATTTCTTCTTTTTATATATCATAAGATGGTGCAAAAGTTGAATGACAAGTCCTTATGGCGCCTAGCTGTGCGTGGTGCCCTCTATTGTCGCTGTTTCTGCATCAATGACAATGATTTTGCAGACTGGCCACCTCTACCTCCAATTCCAGGTTATTTCTTCCCTCTCTCTCTCAGTATTGACTGGTTTTGTTTGACTCTTAAATCTGAATTTGTACATATATATTTGAATGGTTTTATTTTTTGGCAATACAAGAATATCCTTGGCTATGTGACCTATGTTCTTTCATTTTCTGTAGTACCTTTTCATTATGCTAAGATCAAATTAAAAAAGGTGGAAAGGATTTCTCTTAGTTACATGGTTCAACCCTAAGCTTGCTGTATATATAAAAAGCATTTGTGGTCTATCTCTTAGAAATGATTGTAATCTTTTAAGCATATGCTTATACGAGTAAATGTGAGATTTAGAGAACCGCTAGAGAAACCCTAGTTTGCCTTAAAAGATAAATTATTTAGTATTGAACTGAAGTGGATCTGAATAGAGTGGAATGTATATGAAGGATTTATATGGACGACCTCAACTAATTTGGAACTGAGGCCGAGTTGATTGATTGAAGCATATAGGCAGTTATAAGCATGCTGATAGAAGTTTCATGGGTTCCACAAGGACAGAAATTTTGTAAGTAGTACCTTTTTAAGAAGCATGACTTCTAAAATTATCTAGACCTGAGATAAGGAGGTTAAATTGGTGAAACCTTCTATTGATGGTTGTCAAGAAATTTCACTTGATAAAGCAATGAACTATGTAGTTATTCAGTTCTTGAACCATGCAGATGTTTGTTTTATATGATCAACATAGACATACATCCAAATATGTTACTGCTGGGGTGTAGAACTCAGACTGAAGAAAGCACGTCCCAGATGAAATTCTTATGTTTGTACCTTTTAGAGCAGAAGAACTAATATTAGGTGGGTTGTGATTGCAGAAAATATTGCTGCTGATGGAAGTATGCCTGAGGAAGAAGTCTTGTCTGTTATTGATGTTCCCTCGGGGAAAATGGGACGTGTTATTGGCAGAAGGGGAGCTTCTATATTGTCGATAAAGGAGTCATGCAAGTATGTTTCTTTGCTTCATTGGTTAATGTGTCCATATGTGTGAGGATAAAAACTCACTTTCAATTTCACGAATGTTATTTAAATGTTCAACTTTTGGGCTTAAAGAGCACGGATAAGATGATGATCCCATCTGTTCCAATGTACTAATTTCCTCTTTTATTTTATATCCCATCGTTGAACTATAGAACAAATGCATCTTGCATAGAGAGAATGTAAAAGAGAGAGTAAGAGAGAATGAGCATGTCAAACAACATATTGCCCAACTGTTACCTGAGCTTAGTTTAATTAAAATGATGGACTGAGTTGATTGTAGCTCTGTGTATCTATTGATTATGTCTAATATCTTATCACGTGTGCTGGACCCTAGCCCCTTTAACCCAGTTGATGAGCTTGGTATGATAATATTTTAAGTCAATAATACCTGAGGTCAGAACATTTATAATTGTGCTTTGACAGCTTTAGTCATTCTCTATCCTTGTGGGAAAAATATTGTTTTGTAAGAAGAGGAAACAAGAGAAAAATAGTATTTCAAAGGAAAATTGGTCACCAGAAACTAATTTTTTGAAAGGTTAGTGTACCTGTCCAAGAATATTTTGGTTTTGCAATCTGACTCTCAATGTACAGCAGTTAGTAGAGTTCGGAAAATGAAAATGTGTAGGTTTATCTATTTTCATGACGGTGGTTTCCGGGCCACCTTGTGTGCGCACCCACAGGTTACCTGCCACCTCCCACTAGCACAGGTATCGGGTAACTTTGCCCACCACAGCTTAGCCAGATTGGAAGAAACCAGCTAGTATTTTTTGTCTCTGCCGGGATTTATGTGTAGGTTTACTAGTAATGAAGTAATCAACGTTTTTTCACTTTGAAAATCTTTTCTTTTGCAGTGCTGAAATATTCATAGGAGGTGCTAAAGGACCTGCTGATAAGGTTAGTGCTATATTGTCAAAGATTGAATGCCATTATACCTCTTGAAATTTTCCTTGCACCAAAAGTGTTTACATCCATAAATATGTTATTTCTTCTTTTTAACTTCTAAGAGTTCCAAGAAAAGAATTAATTACAATGCTGATCTGCTGCTAAAGTTTCCCGGGGTTACCATAAACAAGACCATGCAGCTTTAACCTAAATCTGGTAACTAGCTCAACCACCATGGGTGAAGCTGTTTACCAAGTTTACTGTGTACCTTTTGAGATCCTCAGGTGGTTGGTTGCCTGTTTTCATGATTTAATGATCTTGGATGCAAAATTGCAAACAGTTTCGAGTTTTTCCACATTAAAGCTGTAAAAAAAATGTTGAATTACTTTAGAGCTGTTCAATTTATATGTTGTTTTATGGATATTTTGGCGTAAGCGAAGGTCTTCAAGTTCCAAGTGCAGTTGTTTACTTGTCTCACCTAGGATTGCTTTGGTGCAGGTTTTCATCATTGGACCAGTGAAGCAGGCTAGAAAAGCCGAAGCCATTCTTAGGGGGAAACTAGATTTCTAATCAGGAAGTTCATGCAGGACTTACATAGTATCTTTAGACTCTGAAAAGATGGAAAAGAACATAAAACTTGCCCTTGTACTGTTGTACCATAAATAAGCGGTTTGGCGGCCACAATGCAAAATTTGATTTGCTCACTAGTTACAGCGTTTCCGTTACTGGTGAGGTTTAGAATATGAGTCTTCAGCAATTGCTGCTATCGTTTCCCTTCGTTAGCAAGTCCACACACTTTGAATCTTGAAGAAAATATCATTAATCACAAACGTTTTCAATCACTTTGATGTCGAAAACAATTCTGATTTATAGGTTTCATCTCCAGTTCTGAATCATAGTTCTCTCAAAAACTGTGAAAACTGTGAAAGATATAATGAAGGCAGTCAAACAAGATGCCGCTCCATATAGAAACATTAATGCAAGAAGCAATGAATATCTGAATACATAGCCATGACTATCAAACTGACTTACAGGTTCAGCTAGTGTGCAAAACCACATACCAAAATAGCAATCAGCTACCTAAGATATTGAGTTCTTTTTATTGATGTATATGACAAAGACCTTAAATATGTTTTTGAAAATAGGATACAAGGAAGCTCCTCAGAGTAGAAAACACCAAAGCAAGAGACGATTGGCGTAAAAGTTGTATCATACTTCAAATAGTGGACCACCCAATATCTGGCTACTTCCCTAATGTACACAATCACGCTGTTGGTCTCCATTCGTCAAGCTCACAAATGAATATCTTGAGTGAAAATAGGCGAATTAATATATGTTGCAAGGAGCAGTAAGACAATTATTCACTTCTGAAAGCCGCCAAACTGATAGTTTTGTGTGTTAAGACTTGAAAATATGTCATCTCCAGCTGTTGCTGCTGATGGGAAACCAGATCTGCCATGCCCGATTCCTTGACCCATTGCTCTGCTAGTGTAGAAAGTAGTAGGTCCTTTTTCTTTCTCATCTGATCCATCCGTCAATCCTCCTACGATGCCAACATCTGCAAGGTTGACCTTTTTGGCTGCAAGTTAGGGGGGGAAATGAGTAAGTTCAAAAGGTATATACCATCAGGTAACCAGAAAAGTTAAGTCGAGCAAGACAAAAAGCTTCAGTATACCACTTATTAGTATATTTTGTCATTCAAGTTGTTACGTCTTTTCAACATGTGCACAAGTATGGTCAAACCATCAAAATATTGGGAGCAATCGGCACAATTCATGTAGTCGATAAGGGTCTCTGCTCAGTAGTGACCCTTCCGACCATCTTTTGGGCAACAAGTGAGCTGGGGAAAACACAAAAAAAGGACTGCTCCATATTGCTGCTATTAAGCTGTCCTTGTAGTTGACATTGGTGAGTATCCAATCAATGAATCGAAAAAAGAAAGAGTTCGCTAATCTGAGTACGCCCACCAGGTCTCCGAAAGTCGCACCAATGTCATCTAAAAATCAAATAGGACAACCAGGAGGCAGTCTTTTTCTAAATGTAGTTTTCAGAAGTTAAAGAATATCCATTAACTGTAAGAGTCATTTCAACTTAATGCACAACACCTCAAAAATCGACCCTTGATGAAAAAGCAGTACATGACTACATGCCACTAAATACGAATAGCAACATGATTTTCAAAATTAAACAAAAATGTAAGTGATGATATCCAGCACTCAGAACTTACGTGCAGTTATATTCAGATCAATCAGCCCACGGCTCAGTGAATCAGCCCATATTCCAGACCTGACTTGAAATGTATCCTTCTTTGGCGGTGTTTTAGCTTCAACAGTCGATTTGCTTAATTTGTCATGAGCATCATGACTCCCACCATTGCTAGCATTTTCACCGGGCACTGATACAGGTTGAGAAACAAATGCACCAAAAGGATCAGAGTTACCAAAAGTATTTAGTGGAACTGAAGCAAATGGATCAACAGTGTTAATGTTCATCTGGTCTAGTTTTGAATATCTGTTATCAGATTGTACAACAGGATCTGCTGCAGCGAAAAAATCTATTGTTGAAGCTGCAGCTGAAGGGGCAGGCTGGGAGGCAAACAGATCCACACCCTGCAGAAAAAACAAATGGTTACTTTGTAACAAACTAAGCAATATTAAGAGCAAGATTTTAACAGGGTGATGGAGGAATTCATACTGGAGTTTGGGAAGTTACACCCATAATCTGTGGTTTTGAAAATCCGTTATTAGACTGTACAACAGGATCTGGTGCAGCGAAAAAATCTATTGTTGAAGCTGTAGCTGAAGGGGCAGGCTGGGAGGCAAACAGATCCGCACCCTTCTGCAGAAAAGACAAATGGCTACTTTGTAACGAACCAACCAATATTAAGAGCAAGAGTTTAAACAGGGTGATGGAGGGATTCATACTGGAGTTTGGGAAGCTACACCCGGAATCTGTGGTTTTGCTGATACAAAAGTGGCATCAGCAAATAAATCAACCTCTGATGGATCAGTGTTCACAGTAGACGTAGCAGCTGGAGCAGGCGTCGGTGCATCCAAGAGGTCACCGATCAAATTTTGCCCAAATAGATCTACTTGGTTAGAATTTCCTGTAGAAGGCTCTGTTTGACAGCCAAAATAAGTTATAGTAAATTTCGAAACGAGAAATAGCAAATCAAGCAGTAAGTTGCAGTCAACATGAGATTAGGACCTCAATGGTTTCATTCCCAACACGCATATGTGCTCTCATTTCAATTTTGTTATTACCCCTATCCCATCCCCCACCAAGAGATTTATGACAACTTTTTAACTTTGCCACATCTAAAAGGTCTGGTGCACTTCTACACAATAATTTAATTTAAAGATAGATGTCTTCTCTATCAAATAGATGTCTTAAAGATTGAGTAATAATTTGCTTTTGTTTTGTTTTTAATAAGGTAAGATATTCATTTAATGATGTATTAAGAATGTACTTCAGAAGTACATGGAGAGGAAATCAAGTCCCCATCAATAATTTGTTGTTTTCTTTGTCCATTGTTAATGTTAATATGCCCTAGTTCCTTAATGATTGTCTCCAACACAATAGGACAGCCAGATAATAAAACTTTGTTTGACCTCTAGCATTTTTTGGTTCAACCAGGACACCTATAAATTTTTACCAGACTCAAAGAGAACATAGGTTTTGATGTAACACACAACTTATGCTGCTACCTTTAATAGAGTTCTCTAATTTGTTGAATACCCTCCCGTGCACATGCAAAAAAGTTATAGAAGTTCTTTTGCCCAAACCATCAAAGCTGTAAAGTGACAGAACCTTTGTAAACAAAACATGTTATAGGGAACTGTGCATAATGAGGGCCTCCTATAAAACACAAAATAGAAGACTGCAGATTGCCCTCTCCGAAAGTTCAACAAATACTTACTAGCACTCGAAGTCCCCCGAGGATCAAAATCGTCAAAATCTTCCTCGTAATTGCTTGATGGTACAGTTGAGCTCTGTGAAGAAGACTTTTTAGGCTCACCTATCTTCTTCATCGTCTTTGATCCACTAGCAGAAACAGTATCCTGAACTTTGCTGCAGATGTCATTAATGTTAACCAAAAAGAGACACGAATTAAAACATGGAAGAAAACTGCCATTCCCAGAGAAACAGCTTATTTGAACTAAAGTCAATGTCAGTGCAAAATTTAATCTATGATTTAAATAAAGAGGGAAGCTAAAGTTCAAACAAACTCTATATAGCAGCTTAAAGTATGAGGGACAGGCCAAAAACAATTTGAGAGCCAAAAGCAAGAATGGCATAGACCATGGAGCAACCTACTGAAAAAACATGAATGGTCATGCATCACCAGTTTGTAGTAGCAACAACATGAACATCTGGGAAGATAATAACTAGACCCTTAGTCTCATGAACCAACGACAATTTAGTTTTTTCCATGTTTGCTGCTAATATATGTTCCATTCTTCTGGAATAAGCTTTGAAAGAGTATGCACTTGAATGGTTATGCATCACCAGATAACAGGTTCAGCAGCTATGTGAAAGCATGAACTACCCTAGGCCACAAACCACAAAGATGAGTCCTTTTCATGCAAAAAACCCCAAGATTAAACAGCTAAATGGGATAAAGGCAGTGCAGAATAAAAGGTAGTTAGCTATACTTATCTAAGAAAAATAAATAAATAAATATAGAAGCAGGGTGCACAGACCTGCCATAACGAGAAGATCCCTTCTTTGACTTATAAGTACTTTGATCAATCTTTTCTTCATCATATCGATCCTTTTCACTGTAACTATCCTTAAATGAATCGCCATCGCTTTTACTTCCAAAACCTCCATATCGCTCATTACTCCGAAAGCTGCCGCTGCTGCTACTGAAAGAGGCAGAGTTTGACTTATATGACACTCCAGAAGATGATACTCCAACGTACCTAAAAGGTGACATCTAATATCATCAGCATGCAATTATGCAACTGAAGTTTCTAGGAACTCTTGAGTAATCAAAAGTAAAATCAGACCTTAAATCATATACTTACTTGTCACGGTTTGCAGCAGCTTTATTCCTAACCTCTTGTATCTTCTCTTTGTTATTTAATAGTGCCACAATATTTTCCGCCTTTTTCCTCACATTAATGCCCAGATCCTTCCCACTTGGCTCAACATACTCGAAACTCGTGAGAGACTTGAGTAGAATAATTGAAACAATAGATATATAAGACATAAAGGGAGAAGGTAAAGGACCATACTTGGTTCGGTCAGACTAGGAAAAAGCTGTATGTTTTGGTACTGGCAAAAGAAAATAAGAAATTTGATGAAATAACATGAGAATACGTACAGAGATCTGATATGTATGTTCTATGATGTCATCAACTGCACGTTCAGATCCGTGTGCCACCAAGTACTCTATAACAGCCAACGACTGGTACAAACATTAATCCATAACTATTTAAATAAGAGATTATTTGAAAAGTTATAGAATAGAAACTCAAAAGAGACAACAAAGTTGACGATCAGAAGCTTAAGTCTTTGCTCTCCTTTTGGTCTTACTATATTTTATTAGTACTAAAGTTTTTAACTCTCTTAGCTACGCAAGTTGATGCCATTAAAAAAAATTCCTACCTTATAAACAAAACGCCAGTTCTTTCCGGTTTCAGTTAATCTTGTCCAGAGCACATTCATGACCATCTGA